AACCCTGGATCTTTAAAGGAAAACTTAAATCTATATCTTTAAAAATAGTATCTACAAAAAATTTGCAAGATGTAAAAATATTATTATAAAAACGAACTCTTTAAAAAATTTAAATATTATAGGAATAAAATTAGCAACTTACTAAAAAGTAGCAAAAAATCCTTCTACATAAACTATTTCAATAACAACCTGAACAACATTAAAAATACATGGAAAGGCATTAAAGAAGTCATTAACATTAAATCATCATCATCATCATCATCCCACAATGCACCTTTTCAACTAAATTTGAATGTAAATATTATCACAGACCATACTACTGTCTCTAATATATTTAACAACTATTTTTCTCTGTCAATGTCTGTCAAAAACTACACAGGGAAATCAGACCAAAAAAACGCAAAAAAACGCAACAAAAAAAAAGAGACTTTCTTAATATGCCAAATACTAATTCCCTCTTTATTAATCCTGTGAGTGAAGATGAAGTATCTAGTCTTATCAATAATACTTTAAAAAATAACACAAGCTATGGTCCTAACAGCCTACCCTCATTTTTTCTAAAACTTACATCTCACATTATCTCAAAGCCACTTAGCACTATTATTAATAACTCATTTAAAAGTGGCACATTCCCTGATGTATTCAAAGTAGCTAGAGTTGTTCCAATCCTCAAAAAAGGCTCTTTTCTTGATTACACTTACTATCAACCCATTTCCTTTCTTTACAATTTGAGCAAACTTTTTGAAAAGGCATAACAGGCTGTACAAGTTTCTAGAAAAATGTAAAAGCCTATACCAACATCAGTATGGATTCCGAAGCAAACATTCCACAACCCTTGCACTAATTGAAATTACTGAGAGGATTCGAACAGTATTGGATAACAAGCACTTTGCATGTGGAGTGTTTGTAGATTTGGAAAAAGCTTTTGACACTGTAGATTACTCAATATTTCGAACAAAATTAGAGTATTATGGAATCAGAGCATCCCACTTAAATGGTTTAGTTCTTATCTTAAAAATAGAAAACAGTTTGTTTCCATTAATGGGACTAATTCTGTCATAATAAAGTGCTCAAATGGTGTCCCTCAAGGTTCAGTTTTAGGACCACTTCTCTTTCTTATTTTTATTAATGACTTAAATACTTTTTATAAATCTGCAACTGCTTACCACTTTGCGGACGATACAAACATGTTACTGATTGACAAATCGCTAAAAAAATCAACAAATTTATAATCATGATTTCTCAAATCTTGTTCAATGGCTTCGATCTAATAAACTTTCTCTTAACTGTAATAAAACTGGACTCATCATCTTTAAATCCAGTCTGACACCTATTAAAAAGCAATTAAATTTTAGACTAAGCGGGCAGAAAATTTATTTTGTGGGATCTATCAAATATCTTGGTATTAAAATTGATTCGAATCTTTCCTTCAAAGACCATCTAAATGACTTGGCAATGAAACTCAGGAGATTTAATGGAATGTTGGCCAAATTCCGCCATTATGTAAATTTAGAAGTTTTGCTTAATATATACCATGCTATTTTTGAGTCTCGTTTAAGTATGCATGTCAAATATGGGGACAATCCCAGAAAAACAATTTCTCAAGGCTATCCCATCTCCAAAATAAAGCATTAAAAATAATATATAAGAACTCTAATAACTTTAAATCTAATGTGCTGTACTGTATTTCCAATATACTAAAATTAAGTGACCTTGTTATATTCCTTAACTCTCAATTTGTCTGCAATCACCATCACCATAACCTTCCAGTATCGTTCAACAATTTTTATAATAAATGTTTAAACTGTAGATATCCTCTTCGTTCGTTTAATAATTTAAACCTACCTGTTCCAAAACATCATTCTACTAAGTATGGAAATAAATCCATTAAATACCAAAGTATAAGCGCATGGAACAATCTCCCCCCTGATTTAAAATCTCTAAACTCAATCTCTGACTGCAAGGTCAAGCTTTTCAATCACTTGTTAATAAAATACAAATAAATATCTCTGCAGTCAAACTCCAAACTCTATAATATTTATAAACTCTTAATACCCAAACTCTAAATTCTCTATTTTTTTATCAAATTCTATTTACCTAGTCTTTTCTTATCATTAATTCCTTGGTTATTTATTCTGCTTTTCCTTTTATATATTTATTTTTTTTCATTTTGCTATTTTTATTGTATATTATGATTGTTATTGACGAGGATTTTCTTGAATCTTTATTTATCAATTTATAATCAATTTATTTTCTTTTATTTGTCTCTATTTATCTTGACTTCATTGTTAATATTATCACTGTTATTGACGAGGATTTTTTCGAATCTTTATTTATCGTCATCATCAATTTATTTTCTTTCATTTCTATCTATCTTACTTTTATTGGTAATACTATCTTCGTTATTAAAGATTTTTTATTATGATTATTATTCTTTTTTATTATGATTGAATTTTATATTATGATTATTATTCTTATCATTATTGTTTTGTTTTCAGATGATAATAGTATTAACTTTTTTGTTATTTTTATTTTACTTTCTATTTTACTATCAGTGTTACTTATTATTGCTATATATATACATTGACTTGATGTTTATTGTTGTTTTAATTGTTAGTAGTATTTACACTATTAATATAATATTATTATTACTACTAATATATTTCTAAATGTCTATATTGATATTTTGTATAGGTATTTGCTTTATATTAGTACTCGTACTATTGTAAATATCCTTGAAATGTTAAATAACTTGTTTCAGAATATATTTAATTTGATTTGATTTAATTTGATTAATATCTTAATCATTTGTTATTTAAATTTAATATCTTAATCAATTGTTATTTAAATTTTACTTTTCCCCAATTATAAGGTGAACGTTTTCTTCATAAAAATTGATTTTTTTTTAATTTTCAAAGTATTTTTTCTCAATTTATATATATATATATATATATATATATATATATATATATATATATATATATATATATATATATATATATATATATATATATATATATATATATATATATATATATATATATATATATATATATATATATAATGTAAAAAAATCTCTATAAAACAACAACAACAACAAATAAAAACATAAAAATATTTTTTCTTTAAAAAAATAATCAACTGTAAACAATCGAGTAAACTGGGCTAAGAGTTCAGCTTCAAATTATTTGAAGCTTAACTAAGAGTTCAGCTTCAAATTATTTGAAGCTTAACTCTTAGCCCAGTTTACTCGATTGTTTACAGTTTCTAAGAAGAAGTTTCGCGGTTTTTTATTAATCACGTTAATTACGCTTTTAAATATGCGAGACTCTTACTTTAAAATAAATAACAAAATAGTATTATTAATAAACAGTTTTTTTTTTCCATATTCATATATTTAAAAAATATATATAAATTTTTATAATAAAATTTCATTGTAAAAACAGTGTTGCAGTTTACTTATTGTATTTAATTAAATATTAAATAATATAGTGTGTTATTTAATTTTTAATTAAATACATTAAATAAAATTTTTAATTCAGTCAATATCAGTTACAATAAATACAATAATAAAATTAAAGTAATAAATTAAAATAGTCTATATTACAGTTTTAATATAATTTATATTAAAACTGTTGACATAATGGATGTCTCCTATATTATATAGGGGACATCTATTAATTATGTCAACAGTTTTTAGGCAATTTCTTATCTCCCCTTTCCCAATTGTCATTTTCTGTCAAATTTCTGTGATCCTCAATTAAAACTCAAAAATTTGATCCTTCTTTCCTTACAAACTAACAATATATATGGCTGGCGTTTATGCTAAAAATAGAATTTCAGAAACTAAAAATTCTACTGTCAAATAAATTTTTTTTAATATATACATTATAAAATGCATTTTTTTTTTTACCTTGCTATTGTATTTAAAACTAGCTATAACACTTTGAATTCATATTTGCAACAAGACTTCATATTTTTGATTCTATCATCTTCCCATAGGGAAACCAAATATTCATCAATTGTTATGGTGGATATAATAGTTGATTCATTTTGTTGAACCAATACAACCCACAAGTCAACACCTTCATCTAACCATTTTGGGTTTAAGACCTCTCTATGAGGTGACTGGCATTAGCTCTCTCATTCTTTTGGCAGGTGCTCACACAATGGTATTAGTTTTTCGGATTAATACCATATGTGGTTAACCTGTCAAAAATAAGGACTTAGTCATTGTTTTGATAATACCCAAAAATGGCTAATTTCCTGTTTATGAGTTATTAAACTGTTTAACATCAATTTATCTTGAACTCTCACCCTCTCCAATGTCAACAATTGTCATACTTAGTCAATATTAATCGCTGACATTACTAAAAAATTATGTTGTTGCTTTTGTTTAATAAATATATAAATCCTTATATATTTATACATGTAGCTTAAAGTTTTTCCATAATTTTTAAAGAACAAAAGAATGAACATTAAAAATAAAAAAAAACTTAATGGTTCAGCTTTTTTTTAAAGTTTTTATGATATGCCCTTTCTATCTCAGATTAGTTTCATTATTTTAGGTTGTATTTTGTTTTACTCTTGAAAAATATGAGAAAATGAGAACTTGTAAAAATTATTTTCAAGTTTTTAATCACTGCTAAAGAAATTTCTAATAGGTAATAAAAGTTTAGATTTAAAAAAAAAAAAAAAAAAAACTAAAAATAAAACTAAAAAATAATTTTAAAAATATTCTTTGAAAATGTTAAAACTTAAAATTAAAAAAATGGAAAATTGCAGCTCAAAAATATGCAATTAAATGATATTTCTTGATAATTCTTGTTTTGTTAATAATGTAAATACTGTTGATGTCTATTAATACACCTATCATCATACACTATCATCTATTATTACACCCATGAGTTGTTAATATTAATATGATTCTTTTAATACATCCATTAATTTTATTTTAGTTTTTTTTTAATAATTTTTATTTGAAAAAGTTTTTTTCAATTTAATGTAGAAAATGATGTTAAAGATTGATTAAAATTGCTGAAGATTTTAAATGACCGAGTTAAATGGATTTAACTTAAACCAGCTGGAAAAAAAACAAGATAAAATTTCTGACAGTATTAGTGATGGCGGCTCAATATTCAGAACTGACTCTTCTTCAAGGTTTAATGTTTTTTGTAATTAAAATAAAATACATGAATATGCAAATCAGAAACTTAAACAATTGGCATTAGATGCTAACTAAACTACCTGACAACAAAATTTTTTTTACATTGTAAAACACCTGAAAAAGAAAAGTAGGTAAAGATTCAAACATAATCATCTGACATAAATAAACAAAGTTGTTTAAAAAGAGTTAAAAGTCAAAGGTTGTTTTTTAGCAAAATGAAAAATACCATAAAAGAATCTACCTCTTTTCAAGATGAATTTGTAATGAATAACACGGTAAACATGGTATCAAAAAGAAAATTAACAGCAGATATTCCATTTTATATGAAAGCATTTGATACATCCCAAAGAAAAGTAGCTACCGAATCATCAAAAGATTTTTCTTTGCCACTTTTGAGCGATAAGCAAAAAAAAAGGTAAAAATATGTACTTTTTTTAAAAAAAAAAAAAATAATGAATAACAAAAAACTTTATAACAAGTGCCACACAGTACCTAGGCTACTTTTGTTTTAAACAATCTTTACTTCTAAGTTTTGATAATTAGTAAGTTGATTGAGCAGGTGATTGTTATTTTTCAGCTGTTTTGTTTAGCTAAATTTAATTATTTAGTAAAATTTGGTTGTTTTTAATTTTTAAAATAAACTTTTTATATGTAAAAAATTTTTTTTTTTAATATTTTACTTTGGGTTCTGGTATTTTTTATTGTTTTTAGTATTAAGAATTAGTATTTAGAAAATAAAAGACAATATTAAATGAATTTCATTTCAATATGAGTTTTTTTAGAATTGTTTGTTTACTAGTATTGTACTTCAGACATTGTCTTTGTCTCTTGGGTCATTTCATTAGGTACAACTACAGTTATTTTTAGTGAGTGTAGGAAAAGAAAATTAGTATGTTTTTTTTTTTTTTTTTTTGTAAATTTATCTCCCCAAGGCTATGAAGAACACTTTAACTTCAAACACAAACTTTGATAAACAAGGATGCTATGAAGAGAAACAAGTTAATTGCAGTACTACCACGAACAAGGTGGGGATCAAACTAAAAACATTTTGCTTAGGAAGTTAGGCACTCTACCATTGCACCACTACCTCATAAATTACTTTAAGTTATTTTAATTTTTTTTTTTTTGCAAAAAATAATAACGGGATGGTTGCATATCTTGTTTTGGAAACAGTTTTTCTTTATGCATTTGTTTTTTTATACAAATAATTATTATTATCTGTTAATACAATAATATTAATTTAATATTACAAATATTTAAATTGTTTAGATTTATATGTACGTTTTGAGCAAAACGTTTTAGTTACTCAGGTCTCCCTTATTAGGGGCTATTCTTTTTGACAGCGTCGACCATATTTGGATGCCGCCTAAATTTAAATTTAAGGACTTTTTTTTCATTTTTTATGGCAAATATTGTTTTTTTTGCGAAAAAACAGATTTTCTGCTAAATTTTGCCAGGAGGATGAGGGTTTGGGGTACTGCCGCCCAAATGTTTTTCCTAGAATAGGCCCTGCTCATATATATAAGATATTATAAATATTAATTTTATGTTTTTATTTCTCTAGCTGTTCAACCATTACATCAACATGTGCATCAACATCACTTTCTCAATCATCATATTTAGCTGGTGCTGCTTCATCCAATATTAATGTTGTTGTCAGGTATTATTTTTTTAATTTTTTTTTTTTTTTTAGTTCTCATTAATGATTTAGCTTTATTTTTAATATTGCTAGAGTAAGACCAATGGTGAAAAAAGCAGGAAAAAAAGAAAGAAGTATTATTGATTATCCTGGTGAAGGAGTATTATGGGTAATTTTTGGAATTTTTTTATAACTATTTGATTCGGTTATCTAGTTTTATGGTGTGCAATTATATTCATAAATTAGTGATGAATTTGTTATCAAAGTGTTTATTTTAAATTATCTTGAAAGAATCTTGAAAAATGTATTAACTTATTTATTTTTATACTTATTTTATTTTAAAAAAAGTAAAAGTTTAATGCTGTATTATTATACACAACAGCTCTATGCTCTGTATATACATTTTTAGAAAAAAACCCTTTTATATTTTATTATGAGAATAATTTGAAAAAATTTACCATTTATTAGTGATGATGTCATATAGATGTAACCTCAAATACCTTGCTTTCTAAGCAAGAGGTGCAGAGTTCTAACCAACAACCTTCTGAAAATATTGCGCTTAACTTGTTTCTCCTTGCATCAGCTTCGTCTGTATCTTAAAAACATTTGCTCTTAACACAATATGGCTTTAAAATGCCATAAATAAATATGCAACATGTTTTTACAGAAATGAATTTTTTCTTGATAATTATAG